ATATTCATTGCTATAAAACACTTTTTAAAAGTACAGTTTGGTTATTGTCAAACAGAAAGTGAGTGGCAAAGAACTATTAGCAGATAGTTCTAACAGGAAACAATAAAATTCCCCAGGAGGAATAGCTTTAAATCTAGCAATTAAAGTATACATGACAATAAAGAGACCCTCACATTACAGCTTTGGAAATTTGGATTCAAATCTTAGGTCAGCAAGTGGACTCCTTTGGGCTAGTTTTCATTCTTGAGCATCTTGTCTATCATCTGGAAAGTTGAATTAACAAAAAGCCAAGTTTAGAGGAATTTTGGGTGCCTTTTTAGGTTAAATATTATGCTACACTTTGCACAGTGTAGAAACATATTTCAGCTTTCAGCTGAATTCAGCAGAAATAAAGTCCAATTTCAAAGAACCATGTACAGTAGCCTAATTATGTTGGTCCTCGGTGGATTGTGGCTCTGGTGCATTTTCAATATCTGCCTACAATTTTCAAATTCCAGAATAAGCATGAAGAGAGTTGGAATGGGTCATGCATTTCTTTTGTATTTCCAGGCCCAATTCAAAGTGTTGGTTGTAAACTATAAAGCCATAAATGACTTAGGCCCATGTCCCATCTTTCCCACCATGAAACTGCCCATACTCTTACATCACCATTGAGGACCCTTCTCTGGGTACCCCATCTGAGGGAGGTTTGGAGTGTGCTAATAAGGGACAGTGCTGCCTCCCCATCTGTGGAATGTTCTCCCCTGCAAGGCCCACCTGGCATTGGCTTTGTTATGCTTTCAGTGCCAGGTGGAGAGATATTTCTGCTCCAGGTATTTGATGGTATGGCATGGCATGGTTACTTTTATGCCTGTTTTAGTTGATTACCACAGATGTTTTGTCTGCTATGATGGTGTTGTTATGACATTGTTTATATGGCTTTGCATTAGTCTTGGGACTTTCAGAAATGAGCACTCACACTTTACATTGTGGGTGCCCTTTGCGGGATCGTGCATGGTGCTACAATTCCCAGGGAGCTTACTGGCAAGCAGGGGCTGGCTTGCCCCTCAGTGTTAATTTCTGGAGGTTCACACCCAGCCTAAGTAATCAGGTTTCTTGCTGGGAGGTGGAGCCAGCCCCATTTATAAATAGGGGTGGAGCTCTGGAGATTCACCCTCCCTACTCTCCCTTTGTTTAATGTTTCTGTTTGCAGGTTAACTTTTTCTTCCTCTTTAGCAGGTGCTGCTATGTTCTTTGACTGGTTGCTGTTGAAGGACCAGGAAGAAATTTTCCTTCATTGGTAGGTTTTGTCTTCCCCATAGCAATTTGTCACAACTTTGGCAGTTATGGCCTTGGGTGGAATCCTTTAGTCTTTTCTTCCCTATAATGGGGAAGGGATGAATTGGTGACTCACCCCCCTACAGTGGCGATTCCAGGGTCCCCTCTTAAAAGTGGTTATATATATGGGTGTCACTGGCCACACACTGAAAGGTCGTCAGTGAACTACCTTGCATGTGAGGATATGGGCTTGGCTGCCTGCTACACTTACATCTTGCAGAGCACCCCCATATCCCATTTACCCTGATGAGCCCCAGTTCCCCCCAGCTGGGGGACTGGGAGGGATACATGCCCAAGGCCTAAGCCAAGGTCTTCCTACATTTGGAAGTTTAATAAAGTTGTGGCCTAATTTTAATTCCATATAACATTGTAAGAGTCTTTGTTTCTTCCTTATGACCCCTGAGGGCTGGGGCTGTCGCCACCTGGTAACGCAATAGCATTTAAGAAGTTTAATAAAACCAAACTAAACACCTTCAGATAGAATTGCACCTTACATACATGAGCCCAGTGACTTTATGGAGTCATTTCCAGCCAGCGAGGGCAACTGGGATCTGTCCATGGTACTGATTTCCCTGACCGCTGCTTCCAATAGCTTGGCTTGGCTTGGCCAGAACAGCTTTGGTCTGACTGCATTCATGTCCTATGTGAGCATCAAGTGAATATGCTACTTAGTGAAAGCTGGAGGCTAGAAGCAGAAAGAGTCTGATTCATACTGAGGGTGCAAGGGATAGAGATGTGGGCATCATGGCAGCTTGTCCAAAGACCTATGCACACTTAATGATGCAACTGGGCATGTGAAAAGGCATACTGGTTCTCAATTCATCAGAATCAGATTAATTCTGGATGTCTAGCAAATGTCTTCTTAATAAATTTACCCCTCTTCCTATATCAATTGTAATTCAGAAAAGTGATGGGGTTACTACACAGAGAGACAGCTGCTATACTATGTGACTTACCCAGGCTGGACATATTCTTCCCAGGCAACTACAACAGAGTGCTAATGTGACAATTCAACCTAAGGAAGGCTAATACATATATTCTTATCAAAGGCTTGGTAAGTAAACAACTTTGCAACTGTGGAGGTGGCAGCAACCACACTACTTAGGACATCTGCAGCACAGATCTCAGAAGGTCCCTGTCATCTGGGATGATCCACAGTGTGGCTCCCATCCTCACTGGTATTTCTCTAATTTTTCAGAGGAGGTGATGTTGACATCACTGGCTCCTCCCATGCAATCCTGTGTTTTTGATGTTACCAGGGTGGCGCATGTAATGACACAAGCTGCACTGACTCCCAGTTGGTAAGATAATGTCCAACAGGATACTTGTTGCAAGTATCTTCTATTGAACTTGTGGGATTTACATTTGAGTAAATGTTATTGGGATTTCAGTGCCAAGGGATAGCAGATGCATCTTAAGTTTTTTTGAGAGGAAGTTTTTTTGTTTCGAATTAAAATTTATTTTAAATGTAAACTGGGCTGAAAACTATTTTGAACTACTGATTGCGAAGAAGGTCCTTGTTTTAATTTTGGCAAGAAAATGACAGCCCTATCCTGGATGCAGGCAACAAACTTGAATAGATTGGCATCGGTCGCCAGTGTATGGTGCAGATATAACAAGTGGTCATTGTTGAGTTGGCTGTGAAAGTGGATGGGCTAACAAGACCTGAGCATATTCTTGTTGAGCAAAACTTCCTTCTGCCATGCTGAATAGAACATAAGCTGTGGGAGACCTCACAGTCTCCAGCTGCTGTACAGTCCAACCAAACAGATAGGGAATGCCACAGGCTTGGCACAGACCACAGAAATTTTGCAAGTGAATTCAAAAGCTGACTGTCAAAAAAACAAAAGAGGCACAAAATGTATCAAGCAATGATTGTTGTGAAGTGTATGTGTGGGGGAGACAAAACTGTATTTTTTTTTCTGGTGTAGCTTTCCTTATTAAACCATGATGTGCCTTATTATGGAGAACAGAGTGATTATATTACTGCACAGTTTCCAAAAATGGCCCTTTGATCTTGGTACAGGTGAGCATCAGGCAAGTAGCTTGATCAGTTAAGATGTACGCACCACAGTTCAGGCAGTGATATGTTCAAGAGGACTACAAATCAATTCTGCAATTAACTGCTTATGACTTTGGTGGTATAACCATCTGGCTTCTCCTTCTTGGGGACATATTTGTAAAACTCCTAGGAACCCTCCCAACAGTTAGTGGCAACCACTGAAACATCTAATCAAGTCTTAATGGGGGAGAAATAAAGACCTCCTGACCAGTTCATGAATAATATGAGAGACTGAATTCTCAGTACTGTTCTTCCATTCATTGCACTTATTATTAATAATATTTTGCCTTGCATCCAGTGAGGAGTGCATTGAAAAGTGCATAGCTTGACATTAACACCTGCTCTGTATGCTGAAATGGTTATGCTTTTGTTGGTCATGCTAGAAAAGGAAAACAATAAAAGCAAAGGAAATACAAATGACTTTTTTCCTCTTCTTGGTTTTCATCCAGCAGTACAGCAGTTTCTATTTTCCTAACAAGCATCTTGTGGATATGTTTTACAATGTACAGATGAGGGGATGTGCAGTATTGTGAAAGATCACGGAACCCAGAAACAAAATCCATTGGCCACCTATTCCCCCCCACACACACCCACTATGGGAAATACTTTAACTTAGACAATATGTGTGCCTCTTATTAGTAAAGATCAGAATACAAAGCTATCAAAGTCACAGAACTGTGTGTCACATTTCTAATTTGGGGGGATTAAATATCTAGAGAGAGAAAGCAAGATTCCTCTGCTCCCACCCCGATCTCTCACATGCAAAAGACAAGGCTTCGGTGAATGTTGACAATTTGGTGCTAAATAGTTCATTTAAATGCTTATTTAAGAATTACGTGAGTTTCACTTATCACCACATGATTAATTTGGGCAAGATCATTTGGGGGGAAAGGAAGCTCCAGTGCTTGCACTGAAATGTCTTATTTGCGACTGCTGAATTAGATCCTTGCTTAGAAATGGAACCTGTAATCCAGTTAAACAACAGGTAATAGGAACTGGAGAAAAGTTGCCTTGCAGTGCTTTTCTTTGGAACACAAAGGAACCAAACCCCCTCTTTTAAAAGGTCAGCTTTTCAGCACCTCAAACAGCTGCCACAATTTAAGAAAAACATCCTTCCAATGGCATCAGAAATCTTTCACTCAAGTTCTGCACTGTACCTTAAAGGGGGGGGCAGTCTTCTAATGAACTATATTGCATAATATTTAACACAACTGTTCTCTGGTCCACCAAATTCAAACCACCGATAGCCCCACCTGTGCATCTTTTAAGCTAGAGGCAAAGGGAAATATCTCTGCACCTTTGCTATTTCCCTCCCTGCACTTCTGCACAGAGCTACTGCCTTGCAACCCCTTTCCTCGCTCTCAGATCAATACATACCACACACTCATCCACTTTCTTGAGAACTTATTCAAGTTTCCCCTGTCTCTGTGTGTGGGACAACCTCCCCCAGGAAGAAAAGGATGCCCGAGGTCATTTCCCTCGTCTTGCAAAAGCCCTCGCCATCCAGTGGCGCAGCGTTTGCAAATCTGCCGATCCCTGTGGGTCTGGGATCTCAGGATGCAGAAGCCACCCGACTGCGTTTCATCATCACCGTTTTGTGTTTTGCTTTTATAAGGCTTACCTGTTCTATGAAACTGCAGCAGGGAAGCAAGCGGCGGCGGCGGTGGCGGCGGCAGCAGCAGCAACAGAAGGAATATGCAACAGCAGCTTCGACTAACGGAAAACCTTGCCTCGCTATCCCACCGTCGCAACAAACTGTTTTCGCAGGCGTCCTCTTTTCATTCACCAAAGATAAAACAAGAAAGGCAGGCGGGTTGAAACCACTTCCTTACTGGCAGAGGTCGTCTCTCTTCTCAGAAATGACTAGATCTCTCTCTCCCTCTCTCTCTCTCCCCACATTTACCATTCAGATCAATACAGCTCTTTAGCAGCAGCTTCAGCTAAACTGCAGCTGATAGAGCCTAGCCAATAGGTACAGAGGATTCCCCTTCTGCAACCCTCCCTCAAAAGGACACACGCAGAGCATGCATTTCAAATGTTATTAGTTGGGGAGGAAAAGCAAAAGTCATCTTAACCCCTTGCTTGAAGCCTAACCTGTCTCTCTTCCCCCTCCATCCCCCGAGTGCAGCTTTCCAGGCTGACTTGAAAAGACTCCCCAGCCAAGCAAAGAAGCCCAGTTGCAATCATGGAAAGGAGTGTGACCCTGCGAAGCCTCTAAAAGTGTTTTTAACTGTCCAAAGGCTGTCAGCCTCCAGACATCTCTCACTCACACACAACACAACACAACACAACACAACACAACACAACACAACAACACAACACACTCAGAGCTAGCAAACTGTAAGTAATAATCAATTCATGTGCAATAAATCAGCTATCCTGCACACAAACACCTGCTCATGCCATTGGTGTCTACTAATGCAGGCAGTGTTCCATCATGTGAATCATCGAGTTGGAAGGGACCCCGAGGGTCATCTAGTCCAACCCCCTGCAACACAGGAATCTCAGTTAAAGCATCCATGACAGTTTCAACCTCCGCTTAAAAATCTCCAAGGAAGGAGAGTGCACAACCTCCTGAGGGAGACCGTTCCACTGTCAAACAGTTCTTACTGTCAGAAAGTTTTTCCTGATCTTTAGTCAGAATCTCCTTTCTTGTAACGTGAAGCCTTTGGTTCAAGTCCTACCCTCCAGAGCAGGACCCTTATAATGAGACAGACTCTTGACACCTTCTGCCCATTCTCTGCTCTGACCTCCAGTAGCTCTCCAAGTTTTTCCTAGTTTTGCAATGGGAGGGGTTTTCTAAAAAATAAAGGGGGGGGGGGAGAGGAGAAGTGGAGATCACTGAACCATCTAGTTCAGTTTTGCCTTGAGATGGATTAATTGGTCCATGCCAGTTTTGCATATTTGCACCCAGAATTCCATTGTGTTTCCATATTATTTTGCCAATAATAATAATAAAAAATCTCAAATTCCACACCGATGGCTTTCCCTAGCATGCATCATTCACAGAACCCCCAGTACTGTTCTAGCATATTCAGTTAAAGGTAACTAAAGGTATATATGTATTTATTATTCATTCATTCATTCATTCCGGTTTTATCATTATTATTATTAGTAGTAGTAGTAGTCAGTTTTTATGGCCAAGCCCTCACCAAGCAACATACAGAGAGAAACAGAACAAGAGAGTCTCAGACAGAGTATGACACACTGAGTGGATACAGACAAACAGATGGATACAGACTGAATGAGATCACCAAAATTCACTTAAGGGAAGTCAATAGTAAAAAGATAAATTTTAAGTACTTATTAAATGGCAAAACTGAAGGGGCCAAATGAATGTTAACTGGAAGAGGGCACAAATATATCTGCAAAGCATCAAATGGCACAATCTCTGAACTGTGGGTGCTAGATACATGAAAATCAGTCTACTTGAAATCCGCCACTGCAGGCAGTTATTGTTTTTGTTTGTTACTATGATGTGTATGGGAGGGACGCAGGTGGCGCTGTGGTCTAAACCACAGAGCCTAGGACTTGCTGATCAGAAGGTCGGTGGTTCGAATCCCTGTGATGGGGTGAGCTCCCATTGCTTGGTCCCTGCTCCTGCCAACCTAGCAGTTTGAAAGCATGTCAAAGTGCAAGTAGATAAATAGGTACCACTCTGGTGGGAAGGTAAACGGCGTTTCCGTGCACTGCTCTGGTTCGCCAGAAGTGGCTTAGTCATGCTGGCCACATGACCCAGAAGCTGTACACTGGCTCCCTCAGCCAGTAAAGCGAGCCGCAACCCCAGAGTCGGCTGCGACTGGACCTAATGTCCCTGGGTCCCTTTACCTATGATGTGTATGCTTGGGTTTTTTTATATTGCAAATTGCCCTGTGTTCCTCAGATGAAGGTTGATATAGAAAACTAATAAACAATACGAAATCTTGCAAGTGTAGCACTACTTATATAACTAGACTTCTCCCATGTTGTGCTCCTAATCTGACCCAACCAGTGTTGTGAGCCGTTATTTGCATATTTCATAGATGATTGACCTACTATATATTTTGGAAAGTGGTTTGTCTGTCGCAATATTGCCATATCATCACCAAACTTCCCACAATAGTTCCTTAGATGTGGCAGCAGACTCTGTTGCCATTTGGACACTGGTGGCCATTGTGAATCAAGTATTTTGTGCACAGCTCTTTCTGAAGTGAACTTGGGGTTTGAACCTGGGATGTTTGGCATACCAAAAATGTGCTCTACTATACATCTATATGGGACGCAGGTGGCACTGTGGGTTAAACCACAGAGCCTAGGACTTGCCGATCAGAAGATTGGCGGTTTGAATCCCCGCGACGGGGTGAGCTTCTGTTGCTCGGTCCCTGCTCCTATCAACCTAGCAGTTCAAAAGCACATCAAAGTGCAAGTAGATAAATAGGTACCGCTCCGGTGGGAAGGTAAACGGCACTTCCGTGCGCTGCTCTGGTTCGCCAGAAGCAGCTTAGTCATGCTGGCCACATGACCCGGAAGCTGTATGCCGGCTCCCTCAGCCAGTAAAGCGAGATGAGCACTGCAACCCCAGAGTCGGCCACGACTGGACCTAATGGTCAGGGGTCCCTTTACCTTTTTATACATCTACATGCAATGCCATATACCCACAACTGAGACATGTGGATGCCCCTACTTCAGGATGCCATAGCTACTTTGGTGTAAGAAATGGATGCAGCCAGCATAACCTCTGATCAGGATGATATGGGTGTAAGCAACTGCAAGGATGTTTGAGACCTGCTCTATGAATCTTTACTTCTACTAGTTTTTGAGATTTTATTTGCCACAGTTCAGCTCTCTATTTGCACCTCAGAGGTAGTCCCTATCACCCTGAAAGCAGTGGAAGTTGACATTTACCAAAGAAACCTAATCAGGACTGTACTGAAGAACTTTAGTTCAGTGTCAAATTTTTCTTTTTTCTTTCTTTCTTTTTTGAGCAAGGTATTGGTGTGGGTGGTATTTTCTCAACTCCAGGCAGCTTTGGGTGACACAGATTATTTGGAGCTATGCCAATCCCAGATTTGGGATGGAAGCTGCTTTGGTTTTCCTGGTGAATGACTTGCACTGCAATATGGACAGTGTAGTAGGAGACATGTTGGTGCTCTTGGACCTTTCAGCATCTTTTCATACAATCAAACCTGTCTTTCAGTTCCATATCTTCTTATCCCATTTCCTGTTGGCCATGATCTACATCCTAGTTGTTGTTTAAAAAAGTTCTTCCACTTCTGCTTCTTTCAGTCTTTTTCAATGAATTTGGTAGCTTTATCCTCTAGATTCACTCCAAATTATACACAGAATTCTTTCTCTCTCAACTCTATCTCTGCCAGCTCAGAATATTTCTTAATCTCTCTGTCCATAGTTTCATTCCACTCCTCCAACCTCATAGCTTCACCACATGACTGTTTCATCATCTATTGCCTCTAGTTTCATCATTCCACTCTCCTATTTTTAGTTGCTCATTCATGATGCCAGCAGTCCATGGCATGTCCAGCAGTATTTTCATCATACTGAGTGTTCTTGGTCTTATTAACAACTCACTCTATACTTTAAGGTTTTACAGTCTCTGCCTTAAAAGCTTGAGCCTACCATCTCCTTATCTCCAGACCACCCCCCCCCCCCCCACACAAAAAAACAGTGGAGTAGATAAATTAGTTTCTCTTTTCAGCCAGCACTTTCATCCAAGGGATGGAAGGTTAAAAGTAAAATAAAATAAATATTTTTAACAGTTGGAACACCCCTTAGCCATATAGACTCTTTCTTAGTTGCAGCCAATTAAAAGATTTTTGTTTGGTTTTGCTTTCAGCATTTTTAATAATTGCCCCTTCTTAAGCTAGCAGTCAGTTCACATTCCAGATACAAATTTCAACCGGCAGACAGATCACCTCAATCATAATTTATAACGGTCTCAAAAGCAATTAAAGAAAGGGAAGTTTTGCCAACCTTATGCCTGAAGGACTGACCTCAGGACTATTATGTGGTGTATGGGCATGATTAGAGTCACTCTCTCCCATCCGGGTCCCTCAAAACTTCTCAGTCTCCCAACATAAAAAGCAGCCCTTTCAGAGCATTAGAGGTTAATCTCTGTTCTCTTTGTCTTCCCAGAGAGAATGTGATAACCAAGATTTATGGCTTGGCGATCATTAATGACCACATAATTATCTCTGCTAACAGACTGTCAACAAAAGATGTCCAGTCTGCCATCTTCCTCCCCGGAAGTCCCCAAACTATGGTGTGCTTGTGACATTAATTTAAAATTAATTTGTGAACCTGCACTTTCCCCCAGTAACAGCACTGATCGTACTACACTATACTATTGTTAATATATTGTTGACATAGATGTTTCTGGTGTTTGATTTGAATCGGTAATAATGTATATTTATTTCTAATGTTATAAACTGCTTCAAGATTTATTTGTAATTGTGAACAGAATAAAAGTATATCTAAATAAATTAGTAAACATTCAAAGCCCTTGGAGTGTGTGTGTATGTGTACACACACACACACACACACACAGAGAGAGAGAGAGAGAGAGATCCTGAAAATTAAACTTTACATTGTTATTCACCTCTCCGATTTGTTCATGAGTTTTCCTGTTCTTCATTGGTGTATATGTGAATTCTTTGAGAGTGTGGGATCCTAGTTATAATAATTGGTTGTCAAAAATGTGCTGCAATGTGTGCTAATGTGCAGCATCCTCAGCCATCCTCGTTGCTGTATTTGACAGCAAAACTTTTTTGCCATCCCTAACCAGCCTTCTGTCATAGCCATTAGCACATATTTCTGTAACATTCCACTATCTGCTCTTCTGTAATGGCCTCAATGAGTTGGTTTGCTTGGGGTTCAGAGAACCCTACATGCTGTTTCAAAGACACATCACTCCAGAGAGCCCATCAAAATTATATCTACTATCTATCATGTGGAGAAGGGGTGAAAATGTGCTATGAATTTTGCCAACCTAGGCTGAGATCACATGAAGGCCCATCTCCGGTATCATAAACTTGGCTTGATAAATAGGATGCACAGAGCCGGGGACCAGGGAAGGATTTGATGGATCTTCTTCTCACTGCAGTCCAATCTGATCCTACACCTCTAGAATTTGCTTGATAACTGGAGCACAACTTGCAGTTAGATTACAATGTGTTCACGGTGTGCAAACACTGTGCACAATGATACAAAAACTGTATTTTACAAGTGAGTTCATTGGAAGGCACTGAAAGATTTGTGTTTTACACTGAAAGTGTGTATTTTACATTAGAAAGTGTACACAAAATGCATACAGTGGGACAGAGTAGGATGCAATGAGATGGTCATAGGTCTCATGAGATGGCTCATAGGACCTATGAGATGATCATAGGTCCTGTCTATCCATTCTGAGTGCCAGCAAGACTGAAACAAGGTGGAATTGATTGCTCTGTCCATCCCTAAGCACAGGTCTGGTTCACATATAAAGCACTTGATAATTCAGGACCAAACTACAAGTAACTTGAGAGATGTAAATATGATATCCATTATTATTATTATTTTGGTTAATAAAATAAGAGTACACATGGTAACTTCAATTTGGATTCAGACTAGAACACTGTAATCCCAATCCAAATGGGGGAGGCAAATGAGTCTAGTGAATGAGTAGGCTGCCACACCTTATCTTTAAAAGCTTGGCAGGTGTGCTGTGGAAACTTATTTGGACACCTTCATTTTTTCTGTCCAGTTCTGAACTCCTTGCCTGGCTCCTAAACTGTGACTCCTCTGTTTGCTTCTGGGCTTGTAGGACTACTTGCATGAATCAATATATCTTTCTTATTTACAAATAAGAGCCTCTGCTTTCATGCTTTGGGGCAGGAGCCCTAAATCTTTTATGATTTCCTAGCTCTACATTATGATTTCCAAATGTGCTTTGCTCTACATTATGATTTCCAATCCAGAGCTCCCTCCCACAAGGGATTTGTATGCCTGGGCATACATATACAGCATAGTACAGGCAATTTAAAGCCCTATCAGCGCTTTTGCATTTCAGAGCTAGAATTGCAAAATCTGAAGCATGCAGAGAAGGTCACATGTATTATCCATTCCACCAATATCCACACCAATAGTTTTACTCATCCATGGCATGACAACAGAACAATCCGAAGATGGAAAACTCAATTATACATTTATTCAGAAGTTGTTCTGACTAAGCAAAGAGAAATCTCCACCAGATAGTGTTATGTCCTTCTTATCAATAAAATAATAGTTGCTCGCAACATAATAAAATTGTACAGTTGTTTCAGTTTCCTAGTCCCACTCATCCACATCCATCACTTAAAGATACACACTTATTTTTAAAATCAGATGTATATCACAATCTCTAACTCCCATTGTTTTTAAAGTGCAGTTTAAGTTGTTGTTGTTGTTGTTTAGTCGTTTAGTTGTGTCCAACTCTTCGTGACCCCATGGACCAGAGCACGCCAGGCACTTCTGTCTTCCACTGCCTCCCGCAGTTTGGTCAGGCTCATGTTTGTAGCTTCGAGAACACCGTCCAACCATCTCATCCTCTGCCGTCCCCTTCTCCTTGTGCCCTCTATCTTTCCCAACATCAGGGTCTTTTCCAGGGAGTCTTCTCTTCTCATGAGGTGGCCAAAGTACTGGAGCCTCAGCTTCACGATCTGTCCTTCGAGTGAGCACTCAGGGCTGATTTCCTTAAGAATGGAGAGGTTTGATCTTCTTGCAGTCCATGGGACTCTCAAGAGTCTCCTCCAGCACCATAATTCAAAAGCATCAATTCTTCGGCGGTCAGCCTTCTTTATGGTCCAGCTCTCATTTCCATACATCACTACTGGGAAAACCATGGCTTTAACTATACGGACCTTTGTTGGCAAGGTGATGTCTCTGCTTTTTAAGATACTGTCTAGGTTTGCCATCACCTTTCTCCCAAGGAGCAGGCGTCTTTTAATTTCGTGACTGCTGTCACCATCTGCAGTGATCATGAAGCCCAGGAAAGTAAAATCTCTCACTGCCTCCATTTCTTCCCCTTCTATTTGCCATGAGGTGATGGGCCCAGTGGCCATGATCTTAGTTTTTTTTTTGTTTTGTTTTTTTTAATGTTGAGCTTCAGACCATATTTTGCGCTCTCCTCTTTTACCCTCATTAAAAGGTTCTTTAATTCCTCCTCACTTTCTGCCATCAAGGTTGTGTCATCTGCATATCTGAGGTTGTTGATATTTCTTCCGGCAATCTTAATTCCAGTTTGGGATTCATCCAGCCCAGCAGTTTAAGTTACAGTATATCTATTTTCTCTGTGTTCGCTGGCAGACAGACAGCTCCTTAATTTCACTTCCTCACTTAGGTTGGCCTATGTTTCTGGCATATCTAGGAACTTCAGCTGGCTTCCGGTGCTCCTTATTAAGCAAGTGCTTATAGTTTCAGCTATAATAAGTGCTGAAGAGAAGTCTCTTCAGTCCACTGATATAACAATATTATGCAATAGGTTTGTCAGGAAGGGATTTAATATTGGTGTGTATCTTAAAAACTAACAATAGCTCACAGTTACTTGGGATCATGAAGGTGGGAAGTTTCTACTGTACAATAGATGGCATTCTATTATTAAAGAGTTCTGAGTATGCCATCTTGCCTCCAGCAGTGACCCATAATTGATGCTTCAGACAAAGTGTCTATAATGCATGTGGACAATTGTTCAGATCTGACAATGGCAGAGCATTCCCTTCTGACCTTATGCCCTGACATCTAATGCTTTTACTATAGGCTTTCACTTAGAGGTGGCATTTGGTATTTTAAGAAAAAAGAAATTGCTGCAGTGACTGATTACTTCCAGAAAGCAAGTTACTATATAGGGAAGGCTAGAAATAGCCAATGCATTTAAGTTTCAATTTCTGTAATACTATGTATTTAACTGCAAATTATTACTTTAATGTGATCACTTTTGCCAGTTACTTTGTTCATCAGACTTTGTGCACTTCTCATTTAGTAGTTTTCTTCCTATTTTATTTAACTCTACTGCATTCAGGAGCTGCAGTGTGTGTGTGTGTGTGTGTGTGTGTGTGTGTATACATATATAGTGTGAAAATTCAGTCGGTAGAACATGAGACTCTTAATCTCAGGGTTGTGGGTTTGAGCCTTACATTAGGCAAACATATTCCTGCATTGCAGGGGGTTGGGCTAGAAGACCATCTAGAGGCCACCTCAGCTAGGACACTAGGAGCTAGATTGTGAGCAGTTCTCCAGGTTGTTCTAACTTTTCTCCCCTCCCCTCAGGGTATATTAATCCTCAGATAGTCCTGTGGTGAGGTCATCATGTATGTTTCCCCTTTACCTGTGAAATAGACAGACAAATGAGTTGGTTGTACCCTGCTTATTTGAGCATATTTTCCTGCCTGGTCAATCTGCCTATGGAAAGAAGAGACACTTCAATTTGGACAGCCAGTCCATTTCACTCCACTCAGTGTGAAGGACGGCAAAGCCTCAAACCACATTTAAGAGTTCTCTACAGAATGTAATACTGGTAAAAGCTTAATTGATTTACTTCAGGGAGCCATGCAACCAGTGAATGGCCATCTTCCTCAAGGTGGCTTCTGAATGGTTTAGCTTAAAACAAGCAGCTGTGGCTTCAGTGAATCCCTTGATGCACTAACATAACCCAGGCACAAGGATCCCTGGGGATTTTGTTCCTCGGAATTTCTGTATCCATTATAAGGACCCAGCCTTGCTGCAAAATTACTTTTCCAGCAAGGATTGACACTCCCAGTGCTGCTGCTATTGAATGAAACTTACAGAAGCAGCAGCCTTTCTTGCCGTTTGAGCAGAAACAAGAAAGAAGTTGCAGCGGAGAGATCTGATACTGGAGCCAAGGCTGAGGTAATTACAAGCCAAGCCTGAACGATGGAGAAATTTGGGCTTGGCTGCCATTACCCCAGAGGCACTGGGCTAGTTAAGTTCATATCCTGAACATCCCAATTCTGAACTTCAGCTTTATCAGTACTTGAAATTCCTGGGCTGCACTTGTATCTGGGTATTCATTTCCTGAATCTAAATCTCACATTTCCCCAAGTGTTGCATACAGGTGTCAGAGATCAGATACCTCCTGACTGAGTGATGATAACCTTTCTTCCTTATAATGTGGGAGGCTAGCAGTGTTGCTAACCTCAAATTTCCCAAGTTTAAGAAGACTCCCCCCACAAACAAGCTGGCTGCATACCAAAGCATTGTTTTGACAGATAAGGAGGGGGTTCTTCAACACGTACAACATTTTAATAATGAATCAGGAAGATCTACAATAAATAGGGTTGGATAAAAGTTCAGTGTCTATACAAATTTCATTTAGTTATTCATTCATTTCCTTTCTCTATATAAGGCCCACCATCCTGATTTCTCTATATAAGGCCCACTCAACACCCATGTATGGGTCTCATCCCCTAGCCACATATTTTTAAACCCTGCTTGTTCTTCCCCAGCCTGTGTCAATACCTTGAGGCTAGTTTGGTTACCATATATCAAGTATTTCAAGAGGACTAGACTGCGGCTTCAGAATAAGATACTAGATTTGTAGAGGACACTAAAATTGGAGGAGTAGCCACTGCCACATTGGACAAAATTAGGATACAATATGACTTTAACTGATTCAAGAACTGGGCCAAAACTAACAAAATGAATTTTGAGAGAGATAAATGTAAGGTTCCACACCAAGGCAGGAATAACCAGCTGCTCAAATATAAGATGGATGACACTTGGCTTGCCAGTAGTACATGGGGAAAGGGATCTAGGGGTCTTGGATGATCACAAGCTTACCATGAAGCAACAGTGTGATGCAGAAGCAACAAAAAAGTTAATGGTATTCTAGGCTTCAACAGAAGTCTGGTGCTCAGATCAAGGGAAGTAATAGTACCACTATATTCTGCCTTGGTCAGACCACATCTGGGATACGGGAATTAGAAGGATATTGACAAGCTGGGACATGTGCAAGCAAGATGATCAAGGATCTGGAGACCACGCCTTATGGAGTACAGTTGAGACAGTTGGGTATGTTTAGCCAGCAGAAGAGGAGACTCAGAGGAGAGATGATAGCCAGCTTCAAATATCTAAAGGGCTATCAACTGGAAGATGGAGCAAACTTGTTTTCTCATGCTCTGATGGGTAGCACTTGAACCAATGGATTCAAGTTACAATAAAGGAGAATCCATTTACTTCAGGAAGAACTATCTGACAGTAAGAGCTGTTAGACAGTGGAACGACCTCCCCCGGGAGGTTGTGGACTCTCTTTCCTTGGAGGTTTTTAAGCAGAGGTTGGATGACCGTCTCTCACAGATGCTTTACTTGAGATTCCTGCATTGCAGGGAGTTGGACTAGATGACGCTCTGGGTCCCTTCCAGCTCTACAATTCTATGATTCTATGTCTCCAGAAATATCCTTGGGAATGGAACACAGTTCACTGCTCAACCCAGCTTGCTTCACTGGTCACTGGGTACAAAATTATTCCCTCTGGTTAGTTACGGAGATTGCAGTTCTCTGTTAAATGGCTAAAATATGAGGTGCAATCTGGGCCATCAGTCTCAGGTCATCTGGGCTCTGTCATACAGACTAGTCTGGGGATATCTATGGCAGCATTCCCCACCCAACCTGGTGGCCCCCATGTATTTGGATTAGAATTCCCTTCAGCCCCAGCCAACATTGCAGATTGTAGAACTGTACTCCAAAATATCTGGAGAGTACACAATTGGGGAAGGCTGACCTATAGTATTAAAGAATTTTCACAGTAATTGCCTCTCCTGAGAGAAGCTATGTAACTATAGTTCTGTGAGTGGATCTTTAGCAAATAATTTTCAGCTGTGACCAAAACATCAGCTGCAATTCCCAGGATACTTGGCAGGGGAACTATTATGGTGGTAAGTTTGGTATAAAAGCATTGCAAATTCATAGCATAGGTGTATTCAATATTGTAAAGAGCTTCCACACAGGGGAAAAAATCTATATCAGCTAACAATGACCATGTTGGCTCTACTGTGCTAACAAGTACTAGTAACATTCATTTTCAGTTAAGAATAAAGCTTTGAAGGGCAGACAAGGAGCTAAACTATTGTGTCTGAAGGTGCTATTCTTCAATAGATATGCTTTCTCCAACCAACGGTGTAACTAATGTGGTTTTCTTTCTCATTCTCACAAACTTAGTTTTATCTCTCCCTTAGAGATCCAAGTCAGAAGTACAGTGGTACCTTGGGTTAAGTACTTAATTCGTTCCAGAGGTCTGTTCTTAACCTGAAACTGTTCTTAACCTGAAGCACCACTTTAGCTAATGAGGCCTCCTGCTGCCGCCACACCACCAGAGCACGATTTCTGTTCTCATCCTGAAGCAAAGTTCTTAACCTGAAGCACGTTTTCTGGGTTAGCGGAGTCTGTAACCTGATGCCTATGTAACCTGAAGCGTATGTAAACATGAAAAACATTGAGGTCTTTAAAAAAGAAAAAAAAGAGCAAGGCTTCCAAATGCATGCTTGTAAAACTAGTCCCCCACCCCAATAGATTTTCAAATGTTTCTTGTTAGTCAGTAAACTCCATACTTGCTCCTTTTTAAGGCTAGAGGTACACCAAATGTTCTGTTTTCTGGTAGCAACTACAGAAATTGGTGGGGTAGACATCTCCTCTTGCAATTTTTTTTGGTCTGCTTTTTCAAGATTAAACTTTTAAAAAATTCTGCCCAGCGCAATAGTTTCTGGTCACTTCCATTTCTTTAGTTCCTCTGGCTGACATTTCTTCCTCTGCCTGGATTAGTCACATTGCAGATTCCACTCAATCAGGGACCATGTAGTGAAATGGATGATGCCACACTACTCTGTGGCCAATCAGACTTAGTCATAGCCCTATTCATACATTACACAGATGTGTACACGCCATGCTTGGTTAGTCCTCACGTTTTGGTATAAAACAAAGTGGATGCCCAAAAAAACCTGTTAAAGAAAAATAGGCTAAACTAAAACATTACAATCAATCTCACAATGAAAGCAGCAGCAATTGATACGTCAAAGAACGAAGATCTGAGAATAAATTACATGTTATCTCCAAGAGCAAGTGAGGGCAATGTAATTGTATCAGCAAAACATTTTCACAAAAGTGTTGGAAAGTCACTAAAAAGAGGTGGGGGCAAGGTTAGCAAAGCTGATGAAGCCAACCAAAACTCTGAGCAGCTTATTTCAGAAACCATAACGTCAAGTCCATATTGGCTTCTTAGGACATTTTCACAAGGCTATTCCAGGCAGCTTTTGTTGGCAATGCTTAAAAGGCCTGTGGCAATAACTTCCCATGAGCTTGTTTGCTGCTTTGATGTGTAACTGACAGATACATTAAAAAAACAAACCCAACAACATATGGAGAAAAAGAAAACTCCTTAATTGAGGGACTGAAAGGTTTGGGGGATTGATAATGAGCTATAGACAGCTAGATTCAAAACCTACTCAGAGTCCAGCTGACCAACTGAGTGCTATTGCTGTCTTATATGTGTTCTCTAACCTATGCAGAACGGATTAGTTTCCTTAGCCAAGAACCAGCGGGGAGGTCTTTATCACAATGATTGCTGGCCTTAATTACATCTTATCACAGTGACAACTGACATTAATTGGTTTTAGTAGAGGGTGGTGTTTGAGCAACAAGTGAGACACTTCCCTTTTTAAAACATTTAGTTCTAGAAGCCGAATATGGATGGAACCAGTTTCTTCCCAAACATAAGCTTCATGACCTCCCCTTGTGAATGTAAATAATCAGGTGGTCAATGTGGATAATAAGGCAGTCAAATTAATTGCTGACTATTTATGGGATGTTTTATGCCAGTTTGGGACATCCCATGTGATTTCCCCCCCTCAGCTGAATATTGCTGTATATTTTCATGTGACATCCAAGGATGTTAAGTTTCACTATTTTGATTTTCATAACAGATAAGTGCTCAGATTTTGATGTGTTTCAGAGCCTGCATACAATGCTGTTTCCCATCTGATCATTGGTATGAGGCAAAAGCATTTTCAGAGAGTTTCTGAGAATTTGAGGGAATGTTTAAAGGACAGAAAAAGAGGAAAAAACACACACAAAAACAGACACCCTTGGCCATCTTGCTGTCACAGGGCAAGATCAACACTGCACTGACAGCAA